TTTATTTATTTATTTATTTATTTATTTATCTTTATTTATTTTTTTGAGACGGGTCTTGCTCTGTTGCCCAGGCTGGAGTACAGTGGTGCAATCTCGGCTCACTGCAACCTCCGCCTCCCGAGTTCACGCCATTCTCCTGCCTCAGCCTCCTGAGTAGCTGGGACTATGGGCGCCTGCCACCACGCCTGGCTAATTTTTGTATTTTTAGTAGAGATGGGTTTTACTGTGTTAGCTGGGATGGTCTCGATTTCCTGACCTCATGATCTGCCTGCCTCGGCTTCCCAGAGTGCTGGGATTACAGGCGTGAGCCACCGTGCCCAGCCTCCTTACACTTTTAAACAGACGCTTGTCTGTTTCCTATAGCTGAGGAAGTACAATGTAGTGGTTACATAAATGGCCTATAAGTCAGTCAGAATACCTGGATCCATGACTTGGCTCTGGGTAACGTATGATATTTAACACCATAAGCTTCAGTTATCTCACCTGTGAATAAGAAATAATAAGAAAAGCAAATAGAAGGTAAATATTAATAGTGAACTTAATAGTAAATGTATTAATACATGTAAACCACCTAGCAAAATACTGGACACAAAGCAAGCATTTCAAAATGGCAACCATTATTATTTATTTATTTATTTTTTGAGATGGAGCTTTGCTCTCGTCACCCAGGCTGGAGTGCAGTGGTGTGATCTCGGCTCACCACAACCTCTGCCTTCCGGGTTCAAGCGATTATCGTGCCTCAGCCTCCCGAGTAGCTGGAATTACATGCATGCACCACCACGCCTAGCTAATTTTGTATTTTTAGTAGAGATGAGGTTTCTCCATGTTGGTCAGGCTGCTCTCGAACTCCCAATCTCAGGTGATCCTCCTGCCTCAGCCTCCCAAAGTGCTGGGATTACAGGTGTGAGCCACCGTGCCCAGCTGGCAACAGTTATTATTCTTTGTGTTATGTAACTTGTGAAATTAGATCATAGTGTCATGGGGTCTACCTTTTCATACATCTCATTCAATTGATTTGTGAGCAGAATATAAAAGCAAATTCAAGAGTGATTTGCTGAGAGTTGTGTTGGGGTGCTATCTTGATTTTTGCTGTCTATGTTTGTTTTTCCTTTGCAGGCGTCAGGTGGTGTGTGGTCCATGGCAGACTTCTCTCGGCAGACACAAAGGGTTGGGTACGCCTGCAGTTTCATGCAGGTCAGGCCTGGGTGCCTACCACTCGCAGGAGGATGATTTCTCTCTTCTTGTTACCTGCCTGCATTTTCCCATCCCCAGGCATAGAAGATA